TAAAATGGTTTACAATAAAAACGTCTGGCACTTGCGAAGCTTACCGAGAAATAATAGAACATTTGATGGCATTCATGCTGAACTGTGAACCTTTTTCAGAAGCAATGACCTCTTTTCCTTTAATATATATCGTTTTTATATTAACTAACGTTTGATATTTTTTAAATAAAGAACAGAAAACTGTTGCATATAACCTCTATTGTATTAATGTCCAAATACTTAAGATAGGTAAATTATTATGTTTAAAAAATATACTAGTCAGCTGATCTAACCTGATTTGCCATAACATAATATTTATAATAAACACATAATATTAAATAGGTAAATAGTACTGGTTATTATTATATCCGTTGTTTAACTTCTTGTAACTTGCAACTGTTAATTAAGATTAACGGCTGACTATTGACTACCATAAAGATATGATAGTCAATAGTCAGCCGTCCGAACTAGGCCTTCGGATCTACTCCCGGACATTAAAGCCATATGCAAAAAAAAAAGTCAATAGTTACAACGTTGGTGTTATATCAAAAATGGAGTATCTAAAAATACTATTATTTTAATAAACATGAGTACTTTAAAGAAATTGAAATAACCTCTTTCGCCATGGACTAATGTGCTTCGAAATTTGATTAATTTTTAATCAATTTAACATTTCACATGGTTTTTAACCCTCGCTTTTTTAATTTTAGTTTGAGGTAATTTGTTTATTTTTCTTTAGTTTTTTATGTTTAAATGAACAGAAGTGTATAAGTAATACGGGTGGGATCGACGACCCCAAAAAACATTTATTTATCATTTTGGTCTTATTACTCATATTATATTATATTAAATTAATTTAAAAAAATAATATTTTATTTATATACTAAAAATAGTATATAAACTTGTAAAATATCTACAGTTTTTATTTGAGTAAAATTAATTTTAAAAAAAAATTAAAAAACAATACTATAACAACCGATGGAAACGACATAATGAACAAATACATGTATGGGCCATAAAGACTAAATCCGTTTTATTATAATAATATCAACAATATTGTTATTATTGAAGAGTATGTAATTTCAAATAGTATTTGCTTATTGTTTTATTAAAAAAAAATGACTGTATTAAATGTTGAGTACTCTGCTGGTCTTTATACATTATCAAAACGTTTTATGTCTAAGGATTGTTTGAATTTTTGTTCTTATTAATAAGAAAATAATCCTGGTTTACATTTTCTGGCGATTCTTTGTAGCATGTTAGACGTTAAGGCACTCGTCCGCTTCCTCGGCACATAACCTTGTCGTTTTCTATTTAGGTTTTTTATTGTTATTTCGTATTGATCGCTTAACCGTCTCAGATCGTTAAGCTCGCACTTTGTCACAGACAATTTCCGGTCGGCTGCCGACAACTTACCGGCTAACAACAAGGATTCACTGTCGTGCTTGCGCTTTTCGACCGCCAGCTTGACGCGGCCGTCCTCGAGTCGCTGTTCCAACCGTTCTCATATTGCTCGCCTTGCACGCGTCGGCCGCCAGTCGCCTGCTTTCCAACTCGGCCGTCGTCAACGGTTTAGTGGACACGGACAGTTCGCCGACCAGTAGACAGCGCTCTTCCTGGAGTTTCCTCAACGACTCTTGAGCGCGTTGACGCTCATTACAGCTGGCCGCTTCCAGCTGCTTATGCAAATCGTTCCCAACTCGCCGTGCCTCGCTCCGCTCTCGTCCAGCGCGTCGGTCACGTCTGCCAGTTCCTCGGCCACTGACGCTACACACCGCTCCGCCTTGTCCAACCGGCCGGCCGCCAGTGCGTTAAACGCCGCCAACTCGGCGATCTTCTTTGCGTTCTCAGGTTTCGCTTGACACAGATCTTGGTCCAGGTCATTTGTGTCTCGTCAAGTCGGCGGCCAGCCGCTCGGTCTTGTGCAGTTCTTCCTCCTTGCTCAAAATCTCGTTTTGCAATTGCGCACGTTGTTCTTCTAATGCCTTCAAGGTTTCCTAAACGAGAAATGGCTTCAGCAGTGGCATAATTAACTTCCACGTTTTAAAAGGGTATTTAAAGCAAAACTTAATCGCAGAATTATTCTGTGGTTCTTATTTACGAAAATCTTGGGAAGTTGTCAGAACACAGGTAGGGGACGGGTACCCTTTATTGTAACACTGTTAATTTATTCGGCGATTGTAAACTGCGCCCAAGGCACAGGTAAACACAAAATCTTATATGTAAACTGCGCCCGAGTTCTTATCAAGTGGAAAAAGGTGATATGTAAACTGCTATGAAAACTTTGTAATTTTTCATGTTCTTGTTTTGTTTTAGAACTTTAAAATTAAAAAGGTTCATTTAAATTATTTAATTTAATTTATGTTGCTATTTGAATTTCTTTTAACTTTTCTATAAGCATAAAAATATTTGGATAAGTTGTATAAAAGCTAGAATTAAAGTGGGAATGGGATGACTCGCGTGCGTTGGTGGTTAAAGTTAGCTCTGCTGAAGCTTGAGCCCATATTTCAGGTGGACACTGAGCTCTTTACTTATATATACATCTACTAAATAATCCGCAAATCGTGTCACTCTTTCATCGTCGGACTTAGATTTCATTAAATAATTTACAAAATACTCAGATAAACTTTCAGGCCTTAAAAATGGTACACCGTAGCATGAACTAACACCCTTCTAAAATCACTGTTCTTATTTTTATAGTCAATACTCAAGCCATTTTGTTGGATATTTTTATTCCACGATTGTTTTAGATGAAAGCAACATCCGTGTATCTTTAGTTTATCTGAGGCTAAACAGCATTTACATTGGTAATTTATGCAATTTGATAAAAGTGGTAGCAACCCTAAAATATTAATATTTCTGTGATTTTATTGATTCGAGCGCTGTTTGCATTTCACACCGATGATAAGAAGCTGGGCGCAGTTTACATGTAACCTTTTTCCACTTGATAAAAACTCGGGCGCAGTTTACACATACCCTTTTTTAACCAAATTATAATCGGGTCGCAGTTTACCTAAAACAAGGTAATTTTGGCGCAGTTTACATATGCCCAATTTATTAACAACGCGGTTTTTTCAGTACGATTATAATTTCAAAAGATGTAATATTAATTATTATTGTTATTTGAAATCCACAAGTACACTTGCTTATAATTATAAATGTTCGTTCCCGCGTAAGTCCAATGCTTTACTAAATATACTGTACACTAAAGTTGTGGTACCGAAGTTAAGGAGCAAATACGTCAAACTTTATCTTCCGGTTACACCCGAAAATTCTCCTTATTCTTTTAAATTAAAACCACCAAACATTAACTGATAAGTATTACGCTATCTATTGCTCGGATTAACTCGCCAATTGCTTTTTTCTATTTCACTGACGATACGTCTAAATCCGTCTCTCGTTTTATCAGACATTGGCTCCACTCACTCCTGGTCCCGTTAAGATTCACCCACTTATTACCGGCTCGAACGGCTTCTACCTGCTTTTGCTAATCTCGTTTTCTACACCTTTTTTGTAAACCGCTGGAGAGTAATATTATTGTTCTGTCTACCGCAAACCGGTACAGATGATTTTGTTGCTACGCGACGTTGAAATAAAAAACGAATCCAAGTTAACTTCAAGTCCTTAACAACCCTCGCGGTCAAACGACCACGGGCATTGTATAGTTTATGACAAACACTACATGCAATTATAATGTAATACTTGTTCTTCGTGCAGCCGACTTGGAATTTCGTTTCTGACTGCATTCTCAGGTCCTGTGTCTCCTCCAAGTTTTTTAGCGTGTTGTCCAACAAGCAACGCATTTCTGTCGTCATTTTCATCGTGGTAACCCAAACCGACAACACTGCCGTGTGTATTGTTGTGATGTATTCGATATAAATTACTCTACAAAGACGTCGCGATATCAATAATTCACATAAACAGTTTATTTTTACACTAAAAAAACCTAGCAAGTGTTTTGATTTTTCCCCCTTAAAACATCTTTAACGTTATGCGAATTTCAACAGGAATTTGTGCTTATGCACAAACGTCACGCTCGTGTCAACAATATTTATACTTGCAAAACACAATCAATGCTAAGCTACATGGACATTGTTGTAATCGTAGAGCAATAGTTAAATTTTACTTTAACTCCATAGTCTGTTTTAGTTTTTAAAAGTAAAAACAAAATATCACATCTGTGTTTAACGAGACGCGCCTCGGGGCCCTTGGGTATAATATTTTCTGCTATTTTCCATTTAGTCGTTTTTATACTTAATTTAAACATCTAAATTACTTTGCGCGTTTTAATGAGATTATATACTGCCGCGCATACTAAGTAAATAATAAATATACAAGTAATGAACACTATAAAGTTATAGTATATTATTATACTTATTTTGCCATGTAAGTATTGTGGGAAGATGAAAAACATCATCGACAATATATTATTATATTTTACCGATCTTAAAATTAATGTAGTATTTCCAGTTTTTTTTCACATGACACAAAAGAAAATATTGTAAAATTCGGTTTATGAGATCAATAAATTTCGGTTTTGGCGATAAAAATGTAAATACTTTCTTATTTTTTCTAAAAAGAAAATTGCTACTAACGAGTTTAATTTTAATATTATTATATAATAAAACAATATTTAAAACACCCTTAACCATAAAATAATACTCTCCGCGTATATGTATTTCGACAACAATGTTGTCATCTTCAGCGCTAACGACAGTATTTAGTTAATTACCTACATATTAGTAAATACTACATATTTTGTTTTATTCATAAGCACGCTGTATTGATAGTGTATAAATACTCTAAATACTCTTCTTACTATACAAAACATGCAATAATATTATTTTCTACTTTTGGAATATCCTTACAGCGACATCTGGTCGTGACATGAAGAAGTAAAATGTGTATATAAACTATTGGAGGTGTTGTACGATTGTCAAGTGTGGTCACCCTTGGTCAACGATCTAAGTTGGCAACATTGACCGGCTCCTATCAATTTTTCAGGTTATCACAATCATGTTATTGTGATTTGTAAAAACTGCAAGGTAACTGTTAGCGCGAATTACTAATTACAAAATTTGCAATAGTGTTATTCATTTCAAATCTCGTAGTTTTATCTAATTTATTTCAACGCACTACGACTCGAATAAACATCTGAAAATGGTTAAGTTTATTTTGATATTATTTATACTTATAATATTGAATATTTATGTAATTACGTTTTCTTTGTTTTAGGTTTTCGCAGACGATACTTTGGGAGGAAACTACGCTATCCTCGGGTAATTTATATTATTGAAATATCATTTATTACAATATGTTTTAAACTGAAGATTTTTATTTTGTTATTTGTAGTGCTAGCCACGTAAAACCGAAAGATTACCAAGAAGTGTATCACCCGGTCCAACAAAATTTAAAGAATGTACGTATTTAAATGTGTTTTCATTATTTTTTTATTCTTTTTGATTAATGAAGTAAACAGTAATTGTAAACTATAGTGTATAGTTTTTGTAATTTAATTAAGAGGTATGGTAAAACGTTACAAGAAGGAATTTGACTCCATCGATTTTGCTTTAACGTGTTATACATTGAAATTGATTAATCACTTTGTTGTGATAATTAATTATAGTCAAACTATATATGTAAACTAATAAAATAATATTTCAATTATATTTTAGTATAAAGCAAAAGAAAACAGAACTTTGATGATGGGATTAATGCGTACCCAAGGAATGCACATGCCTCTGCGATTGGCCATGGAACAAAAAGTGTTTGAAAGCGTTGGCCGGCTCCCTATTCTCAAATCGTCTCGTTTACATACTGAAGTCTTAAACGATACACTGGATTCGGTCACTGAAAGTGATTACTTAAACCCTTCAGATTACAACGAATCACTAGTCCCGTCATTTGTTGTCATGGACAAAGATTTAAAATTTTAATTATTGTACTGAAAATTTAAGGTATAATTATGGCCTAAAAAATAATTATCAATAATGTGTTATTTTTCTATTATAATAAGAAATTTTGTATACAAAATATTTACCTATAATATAGTTAAAAATTTTATAGGTATTATAAACAGTTTTTGGTCTACCGGCTAATGGAAAAATATTATACAAAAATATATTATTAAACACATATCTTAATTTCTTATATTAATTCTGTTAAAACAATAATAAGATATTTAGTCGAATACATTGCTGCTAGTTAGCACTTGCTGTTTTTCAATAAGCAATGTAATGTTATCTTAGATATAGCTATAAAAAATTATTGTTTTTCACCAAAAAAATAAAAACTAGCCATTTTGAAGATTTTTTAATCGGTTTACAAGCTGATTACTTTCAAATAAATTGTACCTTACTCATATTTCTTACTAGCAATCGCTTTCAAAAAAGAAAAGGATAATAATATTTTCCATTGTGAGAGAATAATTTGAAATTTGAAACAATTTTGTTTCATTACTGTTATCATCAGTAAATTATAATACACACTGCACCAACAGTTGTTGATTAAAGAAAACTTTCTTTACTATAATAAAAATTATGAGAGTAAACAATATCCCTATTGACCTATTAATATTAAGACTAACATAAACTAAATTTTAATTTGTTTTAAACTAAGTTTTAATTTGTATAGAATATCTTGTTTTATTTGAGGATTTATCTGGTTTTTAGTAGTGCCAGTAGTCACCAGCAAGGTCCTTCATGCTCACCTTAATCACCACAATTGCATTCGAATTTAATTTTTATTCAATAATGTAAAATCATAACGGAAAGGTATTGCAGAAAGTAATTAAAATTAATTTGTACGAATTGTAGTTTTATTATAATTTACATTAGTTTGAAAAAATAATAATGTGTATAAACAAAAGATGTTAATAAATGGTAAGTAAAATAGTAAAACAAACAATGATGTTTAATTTAAAATAATAATATTAAACGTTGCTTGGCTACAAATAATAAATATTAGAAACAACACTCGAATATTGTGAAATGCCGAAGAAGACAATTTAAAATTCAATGATGATGTACAGTATTTAAGTTATTAAAACAAATATATAAATCAATTTTTATTAAAACGTATAGTATTATTATTATAGTAACTGAAAATAATAACGACAACTGTTTATTTGCTTATTTATAATATCGCCATTAATATTAACTCTAACCATTAGTTTCAACACAAAACAACACTACCAAAGTAAAAACTTATAGATAATGACTAATGAGAAATCAATAAAATAAAAGAACAATATTCTAATAAAAATATTTTAAAATACCTGTTGGCTGATTCACTTATACAGTAATCTAGAAATTTACTGTAATTAAAGTGAAATTTTCCATTTTTTTTTTATTTTTCTTAATTTTAAGTAGAAAAATATGTAAATTTGTTGGGTGTTTTTCTCCCAAGAGTTGAACTTTTTACATTTGCGGGTCTATATGAAGAAATTGGTGCAGTAATACCAAAAATATAGTCCAGACACGAAATAAAAAACAAAAACGCTTGTTGGCTGAAATTTTAATTCAGCATTCTGAGGTGATCTACTCATCTCTGTATATAGGTAATTCAAAATAAATCTTAAAACATTATTCACTAGATGGCTCTAGCGGTTTGATTTAGTTGACTAGAACGAACATTATTGCAACTACGAGACATCAAAAATATTATTATTTATAAGCATTCAATGTTAACAATAATATCAAATAATTAATTAAATAATAATATCAATAAATTTAGATCTGTGTATAGGGAGGGGCTACAGTTGGTTATTTCCCAATGGGCAATGGTGCACAAAACATCCAGTATAAGGCTAAAGAAAAGAGCCATTTAAAACAACTAAATTATTTAAAAACTAATTTTTCTGATGAAAAAAAATAGAAATGCTTTTAATTTCATTGTCGGTTTATTTATATATGACAGTCGAAAAATTTACAACGGCCAATGCCGCCACCCTCCCCTTTATTGCAATGCTCTGTTTTTTTCTTAATAAAAAAAAAAAGTTTAACTACAGATTTTTAATCATAATCGAATATCTATTATAATATCGCTCGAAAAAAAATGTCTTCACTCATTTTAGAAGAAAGGTTTTTGATATTTTTTGGTTTGTCAACGTTTATCGATAGAACTTTATCTAAAAAAAGTTATAGCGCGCCGTTGTTTCAAGTTTTGGCTGCTTTTCCCAATTTGAATGGGGAAGGGGTAAACTTTTTCAATTTTTAGCCACGTAAATTATATTTACTATAATGTACCTTTACGGTACGATTTCTGATCAATAGAGTTGCTACATGAAAAAAATTGGCTCAGCTGAAAATATTGTGGGTAAACACACACACACAAAAAGGAATAATAATAAAGACTGAATTATATAGGTAGTTGGAGTAGTGACATTTTTTAAGTTGCACTAACGAGTAAAATGTTTTAATACGGCTCTCTATTATGTCAATGTATAAACTTTAAATACTATCCCAACTAAGCCAGTAATTAAATAGTTGTTCTTATTATGTTTAGTATTTTTTTTAAATAATATTATGCTTACAATACTGATAAAGTTTAATGAGTTGGCCAATAAATTATTTAAAATTATTTGGTTACAGGTGAATAAAACGGATGCGACGTGACCTAATGGACACATGACGTGTAAAAAATTCTAATAAAACTAGGTATAACAACATTTTTTTTGCAATAGGACTTAGGAGGTTGGTCATATCAACATTATTTTATATTTTAATGGAGTAAACGAGACTGGCCTAATATAAAATTAACTTTGCGAACAAATACGTCATATTCAAAAATGTATTTAAATCAAGGTGATATAACTACACCCACTTATATGTAGTCAGTCAGCATAATTTTAAGAGAATTCAAAAGTAAGTTTACTGACACCCGTAGTTAAATTTACCATGTAGATAAATTAAAATAATTTTTTTTAAATTACTGAATTCTGACCAACAAGATGAATAAAAAATGTTTCTCGCTAAAAACACGACTTTTAAAAATATAGGTAGGTACTTAACATGTGGTACCATACAGAAATGAGTATGTTGGTGTAAAAGTTTACTTTAATTTCTATATAATAGTCATGTTTATAAAAACTACTGTAGTTTCAAAATAAAACCCTAGATTTCCGATGTGACTTGTGAGGGCACGTTGGAACTATTCAACGGCTCATTGACATAACCAGTTTCAAGCACTGTACTTCAACAGCCATACCTGCTTTGACCAGGGTTTTATAGATGTGTGTGGTGATTTCGCGAGGTTGTGACTTGTGAATCGTGTTTTGGTCCACAAATGTCTGACCAAGGAGATGTCACACCAGTTTATTTGAAGGTAAAACTTATATAGATACATTTTATTTTTAGTTATAACTGTTTCGAAAATTTATCAGAACAGTTATAACTTATAACTGATAAGTAAAAATAAAATGTATCTATATAAGATACCACAACTAGACACATGGAGTTAACGGATGAATGGATTACACTAAAACCAGCCGAAAAGTAAACATTTAGAGTTCAAATAGTATTAATTGATGTTAGTACTTAAGGAGCAAAAATAAGAATTTCTTCTTGGCTTGTTTACATACTTTCGCTTACACTATAGAGCGTATAACTGATTGCTACTGACATTGAATTTGCCTTATAACGCCATGAAAATCCATCTGACTAGCAGTTTATTATATCAGGCAAGCACTTAGTAGTCTGGGCATTACTTTATTATAATGTATTAGGAACTCTACCATAGTTTATAACGTTATTCTACGTTCTAAAATATAATAATTGGATATATTTATCATAAACTCAAAATAATTATTTTGAAAAATTAGTAAAGAAAAAACTAGGAAAACAAACATTATTTGCATATTTTTTTATAATTTTAAGACTAGTTAAATATTGATGAGTTACTTGTTAAATATCTATACAAAACAAAAATGTTAATATTTAGTATTTTATATAATATTTTCTATGTCAAACATGACAAAAATATTTAACCATAGATGGTAGTTTTATCTCATCTAATACAATCACAGTTGCGCCCCTCGTCTTCCATAACTATATTGTGATCAAATCTAAAATTCGAATGTCGTAAACATATTTTGTTTAACTCATTCTAGGGGTTGTTTATAACCAAAAATGCAGGATTCTCGCAGAAGAAATTAAGAAATTTCCCATGTCCAGTAGTTTAGGTTATAATAGATTATATAGTTAGGTATAGTATTCAAGGTTCTGATGGTACTAGTGGGCGGGTTTTGCGAACTACCACATAGATTCTTCGGGGAATACATAATAATCTTCGAATGGTCCCTACATATAAACATAGTGTTCCCCGGGATAGTATATGTTATACAGTGTGTGCCCAACGCCACTGACGGCCGACGGACACAGTAATTGAACTGGAACCCTCTGACAGCCGCCGCCGAGCTGTCAACATTGCGGTATCTTATCTGGAAAAAAATCCTTTGCCCGTCGTCTGTCGTACCTAACCCTCTATAACATGTATTATAACGCATGTCCTATTGCCTCGGGGATACCTCTTGTGCGGTGTACAATTATTACCGTACACCCATTATATATATACACATCATAATGCCTTATCTACATGTAAGTGCGTGTAGACGGACTACGATTTGGCGATAGTCGCGGACAAACCAAGTGCGAAACACATTATTACAATACACAAGGGACGCGCTTGCCCCCAAACTGACGAAGAAGCCCTAAACGGGTATAATTACTGTGTAAAACGACGGGGACACATATAATAAAATAATACCGTTTACATTTGATTGGAAACGGCCATTAAGATATAATAAATAACGTAAAATGCTATGCCAAAAAAAAAAAACGATTAAGAAAGATCATTGTTAAACAAAACAACGCACAACTTCTAGAATGTTAGCATCGAAATTAAATAACAAATTACACAGTGCTACAAAACAAACAAAATGAATGAACTTTTCAAGTGCAGGTTGTAGGTCTAGCGGAGTTTAATTTAAAACCGCTTTTGAACATATTTTACACCGTCAAAATTTCAATATAGGTAACGTTAAACAAAGTTACTCTTGAGAACACTAATTTTAGGTATAAAAGATTCGAGGGTGTAATAACATTTTCAAACCCAGTCACTTGAGAAGTTCAGAATCACTGTAGCACCGTGTTGTTGAAATTTGTGTAATTTTTCTGGTAAGGATGCGTGTTGGTTTGAATAAAAAGAAGACTCCAGCTCTGAGCACAATGACATGACAAATAATTACCATTTAAATATGAAAGGTCAATTTTTTATTTAAGCGATGTACATATGCCGGAATGGCGTTATCCATTTATCTAATAACAACTAACTAAAAATATTCTAAAATTAATTTTATTTTTGTTATGAAAAGTGTTTTAAATATTTATCTTATACCTTCCGTATCTTATCTAGAAGTTTACCAAGTCAAAGAGCAAAACCATTCGAACTTCGCAGTAACAGTATACGTAGATATTAGATAGAGAAAATGTAGAGGACACTTCCTTACCTGCTACTTCAATCAGATAATATAAACGATGTGTTGTAAATTGTATTAGGAATTATAAAAGGAAAAATCCGAGAAACGTGAGGAACGGAAAATGTATACCAAGCAGCCTTTGTGCTGTTGGGTTGATGATAATTAGAAGATGTAAAAGTTAAGTGTTGCCGAGTCTGAAAGACAACCTAAATAAGAATACCCCGTTGAAATAATTTATTGTTTTTCAGAGTTTTTGTTAATTATTCGTAACAAAAGGTACTTCAGACACTACAAGGGGAAAACCCTAAAACGTTATGCTGCATTCTTTGACAGTAAATGATTTGCTCACGATTAAGCGCAATTATTTATAGTTTATGAATACGTAGGGAAAATTAGGAGGTATAATAATTAAAACAGATAAAACCTCGATTTTTAACAGTTTAAGGACGTTATATCGATGTGCTTACCGTTTTATATAACTTTTAAGTGTCGTGTAACCTATTTGAGTAGAGTGGTAAAAAAGTATAGTGTATACAAAAATCGGTCATTGATCGTATAAGTATAGTCACCGTTCTCGTCACGCCAATTTTCTAAACACAACATTTGTATTGTGATCTCACTTTGTCCGTACGCGTTGCCAATGATATTAACACATCATGCACAAATCTCAGATAAGATCAACAAATATATATTTATATATATATATATATGTATACATGTTATATACGGCCGCACGCTCTTGGCCGACGCTGAGGGGCGTCTCATGTGTGTCGGATGGAATATTCATAATCGAATGGCCACGTGACCACTACAGCTATAATACTTAAACGCTATTACAATTTTCGACCCTCGCCCGTTCTTTGGCTGCTATTATTATTTTTTATTTTTTCAAACGACACACTGTTTCACGTTATATTAAAACATATAAAAAATATAGTCATGGCTGTAATATGAAATTGTTGAACTGCTCATAATTGAGCCTTTATCGCCGTGCGCAAATCCACGAGAGCTATAATAATTAATATGCAGTCGATTAAAAAAAAAAAGGTTTTCCATAAATTACGATGTTTAAAGTTTTTATATAGTTAAAAAAAAAGTTTAAATTTGTCTTAAGACGTAATGCGTAATAATTGTAAATTGGCTTTAATTATCTAAATTTTACAGTGGTGCGGTGCGACGTAACCTGGTTTTTTTTCAGGGAAGACTAATTATTGTTGATTTATCAAAATTAAAAAAAGTTACTCACTGTACTGTAACATTAGGATGTATGTATTTCATAGAAATAGACGATGACAACTAATTTTTACAACAACAAATAGTCAATATTAAGGAAGAAAAATTGTTTTACAATATTGTGCAATTAGCTCGGCCAAAGGATGGGAAATTTCGAAATCGTTTTTCGCGCGTACATTGTTATAGCGATTTTTTCAATTTAAAAAAAATATAATTGTGCGGAGGGTGCAAAAAAAGTTCGTAGAAAATCCTTGGACGATTATTTATATATTTATTCTCCTCGTTTTCGTCGGTACGGAATGAAAAATAAATAAAAAAAGAAAAGCGACCGGAAGACACGGGAACTCGAGGTTTTCACGAGAGTGTGAAGGGGAAAAAAATTGTAATACCCGATTGTTCGTCCCTTTCTTCAGTGATAATAATAATAATAGGATAAAAAAAAAAAATTCAGAGCTAATACCAAATTATAAAGTCCCCTTTTTCTCGCGCCGCCCGCGACGTGTGTGCTCACTGGACCATTATTTCCGTGTGTAATCCGCCGTGAAAACAGACACGGCGCTTTCCTTCCTGCATAGCCCCGTCACCTCCCCTCAGCGGGCCTACTCTCCTGCGCCGCCGCTTCTTTTAAGCCCGCCGTACCGAATATTACAATATTCGTACTAATAAAATAAAAAATAATAATAATAACATTGTTACGGATTGTCGAAGGGTTTTCGGGGGGGGGGGGATCACAAGCAGAGGAACGTCAGCTACGACCAAAAAAGTAAAAGGCCAAAAGGGAACGCTGGTTTTCCACCGGTTACACGGCCGTATAAATTACAAAATATGCCGGTGTGTAACGTGTGCGTACGTATGAAAATAATACACGTGTACGCATTGTGTTGTGAGACGCGCAGAATTGAATTTTGGAATTAAAATATTCATTTTGCGGCAGACGCGTCTCTAACGAACGGTAAGTAAACACGGCGCGCCCGAGCAAATCGAATTACAGACACGAGGCGAAAATGACGTTTTATTTCATAGAAACAATAAGATAGTATTTAGATTTGGCACGGCGCACCCGCCGAGAGAGCTACATCATCAAACCTCCTGCAAGGTGATAAAGACATTGTCATAGTTGTTGTGTATCATCATGTAGGTTAACGGGCCTTGAAGGACCAACGCTGCTATCGTGCGATTGTTTCTAGACGAATTAGTTGTTATATATACTAGAGGCTTTAAATAGTAAATCTATCAGAATATTTTGATATTTTAACGTGATCCCTAATAGGCAACATAAATCGTTTCATACCATCGTCAATTACTTGAATTCTTAATAAATGTTATCAAAAATAATAATTAATAACGTTTACGCCTTAGTTGACTTTAATTTCTATCTTAAAATACCGTTTAATTGTATTTAATAGTAATTCGTCGCCGTTGTTACCACCCATATATAAACAATATAATGAAAATATTTTTAGATACCCGCCGAATCACTCAAACGTAGGAATCTGGAAAATTATACTATCAAAAAATAGTTTTTGAGAAAATTTTAAATGTAAAAAAAAAAAAAAAATTTGGTCTGAATAACGTGCTAAGAACCAATCAATACATAATACCCTAAGTACCTATAGAAGAAAATCAAGATTTTTATCAATAGGTTTGATTACAATTGTTATATGCAATAAGAAAATTCTGGGAAGTGTTAGATTCTTAAAGTTTAAATAGGTTCCTTGCACCATATTCCCCCCCCCCAAAAAAAAAGGTAAACCTAAGAATAGTCTATACCAGGTTACTAGGACCGAACTTACAATTATTTTTCATCAAATCAGGTAAGCGCGAATAAATACTAGTATATTGTTGTAAAATCAGAAATGTTCACAATCAATAGTCGAAAACTTAATTTATCTGTGCTAAAGAAATTACAATTTTCTAAAACCTAATCCACTTAAATTGAATTACTTACTTAAACAAATAAATACCTCAACCAACAACTCTAAAAAATATTCATAGACAAAATTATTCGATTAATCAAAAAATGACATCGTTATTCGTTTTAATAATGTACGATACTTTAAATTGTTTCCTTCAACTAAAAATCACCCACTATCTAATACTTCAAGTTCTATTATTCTTAATTTATTCGCCGTTTCATGTATATTTTATTTCCCTGTTATTTTGTTTTGGCAATTATTTCTTTTTCTAGACGTTTGGTTCGTTTCCCTTTTTATTAACCACCAATACATTTTATGCACATAACATAATAATATTTCTGTAAGTCATATCTCATCAATCATTATAATATGTTGGATTTAAGTTAAATCATTTAACGCATTATTGTAAACTGTAAGTAGGTAATGGTTACTTTATAGATCATAGAGTTCTAAAATAATTATGTGTAACGCCAAATATTAGTAGAAGAATATGTTTAGGTAAATTAGGTAATCAGTAAGTCAATACATGCTTTTGTACAAGAATACTTCATTATTTAATTATTAAATTCTATTATATTATAATTCATTATATCTAACTTCTTGTTATAAATATATATTTTTAGACAATTTAACATGGTGGATATGCAAATTAATGTATTGCTTCCAGTAAGTTTAATATTATAATTTAAGGGACGTTAAACCTAAACAGAAACATTTTTCACAGAATTAGTGATAGGAATTTATTAACAATGGTTTTGTTTGATAACATGATTTCAATCATATATTACAATTATTTAAAACATACTTTTAATTTATCGGTATGCCTTTTAGTAATATGCATTCTTTCGTGGTTCTTTAAAGATTCAGGTTGTGAAAATGATTTGAGGCACACTTTGCATTCATAGGGTTTTTGCTCAGCATCGTCTTCTGAAGTATCATTTAAAGCAATGTCATCTGAAGATGTGTATTCAGCAGTGTCATCTGAAGATGTGTCTTCAGCAGAGTCATCTGAAGATGTGTCTTCTGCATGCACCTTCCCGTGTTCACGTTTATAAGGCTTCTCACCAGTATGTACTTTCATATGTCTTTGTAGGTTACTACGATGTGCAAAAGATTTTCGGCATTCATTGCATTCATATGCTTTAATTTCGGCATGCACATTCTTGTGCTCTTTTAAATATTTAGCTTTTTTAAATGATTTTGAACAAACATCACAATTATGTGACTTGATCTCGGTATGCACATCCTTGTGTTCCTTTAAAGCTCCAGAATGTGAAAATGATTTTTGACATATACCACATTTAAAACGCTTTTCACCAGTGTGTACTGTTTCGTGTCTTTGTAAGTTGTTAATTTGTGAAAATGTTTTTAGGCAAACATAACATTTATAAGGTTTTTCATCTCTGTGCAATTTCTCATGCACCTTTAAGTATCTAGCTTGTGCAAATATTTTCAGACACACATGACATTTATACACCTTATTCTCGGTATGCACTGCCTTGTGTACGATTAAAGATTGGTTTGTAGAAAATGATTGCTGACATACATTACATTTAAACGGTCTGCCACCAGTGTTTATTATCTCATGTTTCTTTAAATAATCAGCACGCGCAAATGATTTGAGGCACACTTTGCAAGAATATGGCTTCTTATCATTACGTACATTTTCATGTGCCTTCAAATTTTTGGAATTTGAAAATGATTTATTACATAAACTACAATCATAAGGCTTAGTACCAGTATGTAATCTCTCATGTACCTTCAACGAACTGGATTTAGAAAATGATTTGCTGCATACTTCACACTTATATGGCTTGTCACCGGAGTGCACTTTCATGTGTTCCGTTAGAGTTCCAGAATGTGAAAATGCTTTCAAACAAACACTACACTTATAAGGCCTTTCGCCATTATGCAGTCTTTCATGTTGCCTTAAAGATGAAGAATGTAAATATGTTTTAGGACATTCTTCACATTTATACTGTTTTATACCAGTATGCACCCTTTTGTGTACTCTGAAAGATCCAGCATGTGAAAATGCTTTGAGACAAACTTCACATTTATACGGCTTTTCCCCGGTGTGCAGTCTTTCGTGTTCCTTTAAAGATCCCAGATATGCAAATGATTTGTGACACACTTTACATTGATATCGTTTTACACCAGTATGTACTCTTTGGTGTACCCATAAAGAACTATATTGTGCAAATGGTTTGAAGCAAACTTTACATTCATAGGATTTTTGCTCATTATTATCTTCTGAAGTATCATTCAAAGCAGTGTCAACTGGAGTAGTATCATCTGAGGCAGAATCATCTGAAGAATGCTGCTTATCTGAAAATGTTTGTTAATAATTAAATATTATATAAATAAAACATAATATTTCCAAATTAAATTTGAAAAATTTATTTTATATTAATTAAAATTATTTTATTAATTTAATAGTTTTTATATATTTTGTGTACTTAAAATATGTTGTAGTGCTAGATTTAAATAACTATGCTTTATATTAATGGTTATATTTTGTATGTTGTTGTGTACTTGTTTATAGCCAACTGGTCACATGGCAATTGACAAATTGCAATTAAACTAAACAAAATTACCCAGCATTGAAAATGGTACAATCATCTTTTTTTGAGACTGATTTTTGATCCTATCTTTAGTGAAAAACTAAAGCTTGTTACTTGTCCATTATTAACTTGCAGTAAAATGTTTAACATATTTAACAATGAGCAAAAACTCCCTTATATGTAATTATGATTTGCATATTTAAAAATGAATATTTTAAAAACAATTTGTACTTGTGTAAGTATTTATAACAACATTATTTTATTGTATTGTAATAAAAACGTTTTAAAGCCTTAATTATTTTTATACTATAAATTCATTTTTATTATAATGACCTTGAAATATTATTTTTTAGTGCACTTAAATATTTAAGGTATATGATTGGTGCCAAAATAGTCTAACATCAAAAAATATTTTTTGTCCAAATAGCTTTGTCAAAGTATTTTAGGGTTATTCAAATTGAAAAAATGCACTCAACAAATTGAATAAGTAATAAATAGTTTGTTTGTCATTGTTATTGTTTAGAAAATATGGTAGTAGTGAAGTATCATAAGAGACAATGAGACAATGTCCACCCACTTTATTTAATTTAAACAACAAATATTTTTGTAAACATTTTAAACACAATATGTTTTAATTGTCTCCTTGACTTTAAAACTCACGCCTCAGTACTGGAAAACAACAGCATTCAGTTTTGTATGTATTATGATAATAAATTGTAGTAATATGTTCTACTGTTCAAACTAATTATTAGTTTATTAAAAAAAATGATTAGGCATGAAGCAAATGCTTCGTAAAAGACACCTATTTTATAGTACTGACTCATACTGAAATAAGCCAGTCAAATCTCATGCTACATCTGAAACGTATGTAAGCGCACACCTATATAAAGCATAGTTGTAACCTTAATAAAATACAATTTGTAGAATATCTTTTATACAGTCAACTATGATACATTACGTTATTGTAATGATTTTGGAATTTATAAGTTTAATTAGGTAAATAAAATTTTTTTTTTAAATAATTACTTTTATTAATTAATAAAAATACTTTTTTAACTTCATTTAAGCATAAATACAGTTATAATTCATACCTTATCATATAAATACTACATATTTAAAATATCTACACGCTCATATAGGGAAAGCACATTCAAATTTAATAATTGTAGCATTGTAAATGATTTTCATATAATATTACACTAGTAACTAATATAATTTGTAAGTATTTTATAAAAGGGCTTGTACTGGCTAGACTTTGAACTAAATTTAATTTTGGTTTTAATATGTGATTTTTCTAACTAGATACATTCTCATCATAATAATAAGCACAGAAGTCATGGTTACATTATAAAGCGATAATGGTAATGAAAAATATGAATTGTAGAAAAATCTAAATAATAAAAAAAATGTATTTATTTTACAGTACACTGAATACAAATAAAATGTATCACTCTCAACAGTCAACATACAAAATTGTAAAATTAAAACATGTTACTTTTGGCTGAGTCCGCACAATGGGAATAAGCCTTTTTAGTTTCTGCGGTGCTTGATTATTTTGGAACAAAGTAAAAGTATGATTTTTAAGCGCAGTGCACAATATTCACACAGTTACATTTTTTTTTTTAAATGGCTTATTTTCATTGAAAATCTTACTTGTGTAGCTCATTTTTTAATTTAAAACTGCGGTTTAGGCCATTAAATTTCACTCAGCAAGTTAAATAAAGATAATAAGTAATTACTAATAAATATTAAATAATAACCATTGTATGGTATAATTATTTACCATTATAATTTTTAGACGTTGACGGTGCATCATCCATTTTTGTAATGACTGAAAACGGTAACTCGTAAGTTTTCAATTTCGACTTTAGTAGTAGATAGGTAGAATAAAAATAAAACTAAAACCAAATAGTCACGAAGAATTGAAATGAGTATCACAATAAATAAATTTAAGCACAAAATTTGCAATTTGCAATTAGGACTCACGAGTCATGGGCCACGGCGGTTGGGAAAAATCAGTTAAAGCATTTGTTACCACCATATACAATGATAATGATAATAATGACTATTATGTCTATGGTTACCACATGGTTGATAATACTATAACAAAACAAAGAATGTTTAAACACAACAGTAATGTGTAAGATAAGTAACGTCTATGATAAAAAATACCGCCTAATTATTCTCATTTGAAACTGACGATAATATCACAAAATAACCTAGAAGAGACAGTCAATGAGAACTTTAAATCGGAAAATTAACCCCATTGTTAAAAATTATTCATTGCTGCCGAAACTAATTTCACATATTTTCCGGTTAGGAAATGAACACGTCGCCTGAAATAAGAGAAAAATGTTAATTATCTTAATGCTGCCTGATTCTGCCACAACATTTTCCAAATCTATCACTCATAGGCCATAAGAATCCGTGTAATTCTTGAAATATCTCTACTGGTTATTCTGTGATAAAATTTTCAACAAAATTTGATTATTTTCAAATGAATTCATAAATCATTATTGAACATTGTGATTTGTGTATACCATTAGTTAAACTTAGTAGTTACTAAGTAACTTACAGTTAAACTTATGTATGCAATATGTTCTTACTCATTGTTAGTATGAATTATAATATATTATATTTAATCTATGGTTCTACGTAGGTATGAGTGCAAGTTTTAAGAATATTTCACTAGGCGACAATGCTAACATAATCGGGCGCATCCGGCATCGCACTGATAACAGGATTTTGCCCCCTTCTCCCCCCTTACCAGATTATTAATTAATTACAACAATAATTTATTTTTGACATGAATACGTCTTTTAGCTAAAGGTACATTAAAAATATTCGTCGTGTTACGTTTATAGTGTTTCATTTTAGCAACTTTTTCAAACGAACAAAAACTTTCAGTCAATAAAACCTCAGTAAAATATTTTGTAACGTGATTTTCATAAAGTGTATTTTTACTTAATATTGTGTTGATAAAAAATATAAATTATATTTTATGCAACTTCCTTATTCAATTGAATTTCGCACATTATATTTTATAGCTTTTCAAATTTGTTAATAACGTTTTAAACTTCGTTGTAATGTGTAATAATAAAATATATTTATTATATTTCATGTATATTCTATAACAATCGTATTTTGAACTAGAAAAAGTAGTCTTAATTATGGATACGTATACTAAATTCAATTAATATTAATTTTTATTATTTAGGTATGTACTGACGTATCGTGGTTTATTGTTTAAATTGCTGGCTCGCGCAAAAACTTTATTGGTTTACAAGCCCTTAATACACCAAAGTGATATGCCTAAACTTTATACACGGTTTATGAAACCAATAAAGTTTTGTGCAATGCAGCACTATTGTCTATTAATGATATAAAGCACTTTATTAAGAATTGTCGACCCTGGTGGCTGGCACAATAAAGACAGATCAAAAATTGTGTTCACAATAGTCATAGTGTTTATTGTACAATAGGTAGGTACACAAGTACATTATTAACAAATAATTTTTTTTTTATTTCAATACATTTTCTGGGATATAATGTGAATACACAAAATTAGAGATTTATAATCTAAATTTTCACGTAGGCGATTTTCGATAAAACAGATAAGCCAAATTGACAAAACTTCGTGAATTTATTAAATAGGTACAACGTGCGTGCCATAGCTAAGTTTCTGATAACTTTATCAAAAAACACGATGCAATGGTCATACTTGACATACAGTGTAGCATATTAATATTGTTTTCTATACGATGTATCCGAAATGTTAAAACCATAGATATATACTAATACTAGGTAGCTGTCTTTGTCATAATTACCCTGAAATGAGTTGTATGCAATGTAGGCACGATCGGTAAACAAACGTTATCAATGATATAACAAACAACGGGTAAAATAAAAAATGATAAAGGCATAAGGTAATCCGTAATTTTATAGAACTAGTAAAAGGTCTATGGGTAATTTATACAAGATGATAAAGCCTAATATTGATAACGTTTGTTTACCGATTGTGCCTACATTGCATATTATGGCGTCAGCTTCACTTATAATTCGAAGACGGCTATCTTGTATTAGTATATATCTATGGTTAAAACTTCATAACTATATACCTGAACTTGGCCACATTTCTTAAGATAAAATATTAAAATGCGATAGTGTTGATTGTTGAATGCCGCCGTGTCGGAGAAACGCGCAGGCGGAAGGTACGCACTACGTTCATCGCGGAAATTACACGGATAATTGAATATTTCATCAAATATTATTTGATTTTCTTCTTCGCATTAGCTTGAAAATCGTCATGAGCTCTCGTCGTTAGTATACACCGATATAGTATTAAATTCTGAGCAACAACAGTTTTAATCAGATTCGAACTGAATAACACATTTTATATAACTGTATATGTGTAGGGTGTACGCTTAATGCTTATACTATGTGTGTATATATATATATGTGTATACTATGTTGTATGTTATATTTGAATAATACCGCCGGGCGCTGTGTATTGGTACATGGGGTGTTTAGTATAATTGTATGTCAAGAGATGAGGAATCGACGCGTGTGTGTGTGTGTGTGTGTTAGGTAACAACGTCAAAACGTTAAGACTCCCTCGCGTACCGCCACTTCCGCTCGGTCGATCAGAAAACATTAAGCCAATAATAAGCTCACACTCACTCTTTTTCTTTCTCTCTCTCTCACTCGCACGCTTACACCAGTCTTCTGCAATGTATGACCTGCGATGTGTTTTCATTTATAATACCAAAGTATATATATATATATATATATTGCGTTTTAACTCGAAGAAGACAACGCGAAAGATAAAAGCTCGGATTCTGGGTACGTCGAATTAATAATTGTTATCGCGAAGGTGCTTACTTCATATGTTATGTACTGCGCTGTATGCAAACGAACAGGCTTTAAGAATTGTCCGCTTAAATACACGCACCGACACGAGATGCACACACACACACACACATACGTATCCGAATTAGCAAAATATATATAGTCTTTAACGCCGTTTATATTTATTTAGGTGTGTGTGTTTAAGTATATTATTATTCTCGCTCTACGGCGAGAACGGAAGTTTGTTTCCTCGCTTGGCCAAATTCCCAACAACGTTTCAAGAATTATAACATTACATATACTCCACCGGTTGTTATTTTGACTGAGCAAAATTTGAACATGGTGCGCGCCTGTGTGCATCTGTAAAATCATTCAAGAGAAAATACTGAGTAGGTATACCCAAAACCCCTACGCAGTGTTTTACTTCTCTACGGTCCAATTGTATTATTACACAATTTGATAATATTATTATTATTGATAATATTCGTTTTAATATATTATCGACAGTAAATCGCACGGAAATAAGAATATTATATTTTTTTTTGAAAATTTGTTACACATTCTATGTAAATTGGCCAAACAAAATTGTTATACATTATCAGTAAATATATGACATATGTATATATATCGAATGTTATATTTATATAGCTTTAGGCAGTTTAATTGAAATTCATCCAAAAGTTTTGAGATAAAGACAAACCATTACCGAAACCTATTTTATGGCAAGATGTGTTTTATAAGTTGTAACTAATTAAATGCATTCAGTAATTTATCATTTATGTTGAATTTCTTAATATTAAAAAAGACCGTAGTTTATGCATATACAATATGTTGGTTGTAATAAAATGCCATATTAATAAAATAAAACAAATGAAATCATATGATGGAGTATAAAATATAATAAAATAAATAAGTACTGATTTTATAAATACTATGTGTTATTATTAACAAATAACAATACCTATTATATTTTCGTTTTAAACAAATACGCATAAAGATAGCGTCGCCTATACCAGTGTAGAATGTAGATACGATCAGTTAAGTTCCCTTTTCATAATGATCGTATCTCCCGTTCGGATTTATAAGGGTTAAACGCGCTTTATGTGAAAAGAGCTTCACCCCTCGTTACAAAATCAAATATAATTACATTTATATACACTTATATTAGTGAAAAAGTAAATAAAACATCGCTTCGAGGGGACTAAACTATATTCGGTTAAAATCAGCATTTCTCCGGATCTGACACAATAATAATGAGTTCAAGTTTATTTTGTGTATCGTTAAAATGTTTATATGTACATAGATACTTTTTATTTTGCTTTAAAACGTGAATTAAACTTATAAAGAGTCTTAATAACTAGTTTTTAAATAAGTATTGTATATAAACCAATATTGTATAGCACATGATGTACGATTGTTAATTTTAAGAATTAAGAGAACGTTAGACTTAATATTAATAATAGGTCTTGACATTAAATATTTTTATCAGACTATATCATGTGACTATATTATGATACGTTCTTTTTTTTTAACCTTAACATCATATACCTACTTACGTTAACATAAGACAACCTTTACTTCTTTATTATGCTAGGAAATATTTTAATAACTAAATAATATGGTACCTACTACCTACTTATATCTATTTTCAGACTAAAAATTTCTATTGAAACATCGTATTTATTTATTACTTTTACTATGATTTTGTTTAACTGTATGTGAATAATTTGAAATATTTTATTAAAATAAAATGGGCCTCAACTTTTCTTTTTATTTATGTTTACTCTCAACTAATAAGTACAATTTCTAAAAGAAACTTTCAGTTTAAAATAGATACAATAAATGGCTACCTAACTATGCCTGTAGTTTTTATTGGTTTTTTTTTATATATTCCCAAAAAGTATTTGATTTTCAAACAATTTTGTTGTAAATTGTAGTATTGAAAATAAAGCTAGCCCATCAGATAATTACAACAATATTTTTTTGGGGACCGTGAAGCTGAAGTGGTATTTTTTTTCGATTCAAATTAATTAATAAAAAATATTTATTGGTTGTTTTATTAGTCGTAAAATGCAATGCTCGTTATCTGGTTTATTCGTTCAGCTGGACGTTAAGTATAATCTGAACAAGTATACGGTTATTTATGGTATCACAATTCAGACATGTGTTTTCGGGGTAT